AAATAAAAGAAAAAAGAATAAAATCCTGTTTTAAGAAAATACATTTATCATTTAATTGGTAGCATTTTTATTGGGACATAAATAATAGTGCATCTTAAAATTGATTAGATTTGTTCAAATGCTAACTTTAAATATCTTTTCAAGGTCAAGGGTGTTTTATACATACATGCATAATATTTTTATTCATTCATTCTCACAAGTTAGCATACTAGTATACTGCAATCTACTTATCCTCAATAAGTTTACATTTTATATTTTTAAAATAGAAAAAGTTAAAATATAAACTAAAACTGCACAGTACTGTAGTATATTGATATATCCTAATTTATTTAACCATGTCTCATTTAGTTAACATTTGTTCATGATTTGTACTTTGCCAAGTGTATCTATGCATAATTTCCTACAAGTAGATTTGCTCAGTCAAGGTTATGAACATTTATTCCGGATAAAGGTTCTGCCAATTTATACCAACTTACTTTCTCAGAGAGGTTATTAAAAATTTTCAGAAGGTGAAAAAATAAGATTTCATTGTTGCTATTTTGTTATTATGAATGATTGAACATTGTCATAAATGTTCATTATTTGAATTTTCTCCAAAAAGTCTTTTCAGGGCCGGGAAGATAGCACAGTAGAATAAGAGCTTGCCTGGCAAGCACAAGGGCCTGAGTTCAATCTCCCTGGTTCTGCCAAAAAAAAAAAAAAAAAAGAAAAAAGAAAAAGAAAAAATAGATAGATAGATAGATATTTCTTTACATTGTTCGCTCATTTTTCTTTGTGTTATTGGTCTTTTTTATATAGATTTAGTTGTTGGTGATATTCATTAAAATTTGAATATTTTTTCTTTAATACCTTATAGTGTTTTTTGCCATGTGCTTTATTTTTATTTATTTATTTTTGTTGTTGGGGCCTCACATATGCTCAGTCAGTGAGTTATATTCCTGATCTCTGAAAGTTTCTATATAGGTGAATATATCAGTTAACAATGGCTTGTAAATTTTTGTTTCATGGAAATATTTTCTCTTTTTTGAAGTTGTATACTTTTCTGTTTGTTTCAGAGGGGGCATTGGTAAATGTCATTAAAGTACAATACAGACTCAGATAAATACACAAAGAGTTTGCCAGATTTTCACATGCATTTTTATGACCAACATTAAGAAATAGAATGCTGCAAGAATAAGAGAAATTCCTTTGTGCTGCCCACAAAGTAGTCTTCCATTGCTAATTATTTTACCTTCAGCATCATAGATTAGTTTTTACCTACACTTTGAATTTTGTATCTGGTTTCTTTCTTTTTTTTCTTTATCAGTAGCAAAATTTTACTAAAAGTAGGAAAGAAACATGCTCTGCAAAGTGAGTTTGCACCAAGGAAAAGTAAAAAAACATGCATATGCAAGAGAAAGCATGGTGCCCTGGTTCCTTTATCTTAGTACTGTATTTGTGTGTTTTAGTCATGGTGAGTAGTTACAGTTGGCACGTTCTTACTGTTGTAGTATTCCATTTATGAAAAGACAGGAATTACTTTTCATTCTGGTGCTCCTGGGTGATGGGAATTATTTTCAGTTTTCAGCTATGAAAAAGTAAATTCTCGATACTAGGGTCTGCTTTGATAACTGGTCATCTGTTTTCCAAAGTGTTCCCACCAGCCATGTTATGTTTCTGCCTTGGCTTTCTCCTACCCTCTCTCCTAAGCCTTCTCTCTTTCCTTCTCTCCCTTCCTTTTACTTTCCCCTTGGGGAAGCAAATATTTGGTGTTCAAGATCATCATCATGAGGAGCTGGGCATGGTGGTCCACGTTTGTAATTTCAGCATTCTGGAAAGCTGAGTCAAGAAGATCACAAGTGTGATCTGAGCCTGGGTAACATGGACACCTAGGGAAACCCTGTCTCAAAAACAGAAAAGCTCAGTGTGGAGATGCACAGACTCAGAGGCTAAGGAGGAAGAGCACCACAAGTTCCTTGGCTACATAGCAAGTTTAAGCCAGCCTAGGCTACATAGCGAGACCGTGTCTTTAAATAAATGCATACACACACACATCCATACATGCATACATACTTTAAAAAGAAATCAAAAAGGGTTTGAATGTGAAGCCTCACGTGCTGAGAAAGTGCTTTACCACTTAGCTGCATCCCTAGTCCCTAAATTATGTACTTCTATGAATGGCAGATGAATCCTCATTTTATGTTTTTCAAATAAATGAGATCAAATAAGGAGAAGGCATACACTTAGGAATAAATTTATATTAGCTTAGAGAATAGCTTGATTTGAACTCTACCTTTTTATGTAGATAGCTGTTAGAAAAAAAAAAAAGTTCCAAGCTGGGGTTGTAGTGCAGTAATAGCACTTGCCCTAGATTTGATCCCTTGTGCTCCGAAAGAACAAACCGAAAGGCGATGAATTTCAGGGAGCAAACGTAGATGCTTGATTACTTGTTTCTTAGTATGGCTGTGGTTGTATATATCTCTCAGAAATGGGAGACAGGACTGTTTAAGCTAGTGGTCATCTCTAACATTCTTTTTTTTTTTCAGGGCAAGGAGCAGGAGCATACATTTGTCTTTAGACTGGATCATCCAAAAGCATGCAAACATTTGTGGAAATGTGCCGTGGAGCATCATGCCTTTTTCCGTCTCCGAGGCCCTGCCCAGAAGAGTTCTCATCGTTCAGGATTTATTCGACTAGGATCACGATTTAGATACAGGTTAATTTTAATGCCATCTTTCTGTATCTTTTATTCTTTTATGTAAGCTGACTTCTTGTTTTACAGTATGGAAAATAAAGCATGGAATAATTAAGTGGCTTGGCAAAGTCACCCATTTGCCAGGATTAAAAAAGTGATACACTTCTTGGCTACAATTTCTTGAATAGATGTCAAGTCATACCTTTCTTGAGGATTTTTTTTTTTTTTTTTTTTTTTTTAATGTATTTGGTTCAGGGTCTCACTACGCAGCGCGGGCTCCTAGTGATCCTGCTGCTTTCAGCCACTCCAGTACTGGGATTATAGGCATGCGCCACCACACCCAGTCTCGGTGACTGGCTCAGCGCCCCTTGGGGCAGGACTGGCACAGCATGTCTTGCCAGGGATCAAACCCTGGTCCCTACACTTGCCTAAGCAGGTGTTTAGTCCACTGAACTATCTCACCAGCCCTTGAAACTTATATGTTAACCAACTATCAGTTTATATTCACTTTGTGGCTAGTTTTATGGATTCTCTGTCTAGTCAGTAGAATACCATACAAGAGTATCTTGCTCTAAGTAGGATTAATCTGAATAATATTTGTGGCTTTTATTAACATGAAGTTCCATTCTTACATATTTCTTGTTTGCTTGTCATGGGTTAGAAATGTTTCAGATTACATTACACTATTGCAAGTTACTAGTTTTGACTTTTCAACATGCTGTGGATATCAGTGTGAGTTAAGGAATGGGTGATACTAATGATGTGGCAAGTCAGTTGTGTATAATTCATACAAGAGAGCTATTTTTTACCTTTTAAAAATGGGAAAACTTTCTTAGAATTGAAATGGAAATCAAAGAAGCAGGGTAATAGCTTTTTGAGTGCTTTTGGAAAATTATTCTGATAAGCATATCATAATTGGAAAAGTAGCTGATAATCTTGTTCTAATTGTATGCTTTGAACTGAGGAGTGTAGATGAAAGGGCATTTGACATTCTAGAGTTAGCTGCAAGGTTCTAGATGATGTGCATGCTTCAGAAATAGCAGAGGTTGGGATTCGATCCCCAACATGCCATGGTGGCACACACCTGTAATCCCAGCACTTGGGAGGCTGAAAACAGGAGAGTCACTATGAGTCCAATCTATGTAGTGAGACCCTGTACACACTGTACTAAAACAGAGAGAGAGACTAAAATACAGACAGACAGACAGACAGACAGACGGGGGGGGGGGAGGAAGAAGAGAGAGGAGAATGGAGAGAAGAGAGAGAGGAAGAAGAGAGAGAAGAGGAGAGAAGGGAGAGAGAGAGAAGAAAAGAGAAGAGAAGAAGTAGCAGTGGAGTCTGTTGTGTATCTCACACAAGCCTGGCATGAAAGAATGAAGAGGTAAAAAGGGACATGTTAAGATTAGTAGTAGTAGTTCCTTCTGGGCAAAGTTCATCTATGTCTGGTTACTGCAAGCTTCAGACTTTTCTGTTAACTTGCTTTAATTTAGTGGGAAAACTGAGTATCAGACTACAAAAACCAGTAAGGCAAGAAGATCAACATCCTTTGAAAGAAGACCCAGCAAACGATATTCTCGGCGAACTCTACAAACGAAAGGTGAAGTAAAGCCTGTCTCCAAACACTGGTCTTTCTGACATTTTATCATATACTGATATTGTTCACTGGAAAGGAAATTACCTGAGTCTCTGTAAGTCTATTCCAGTCAACCAAAGTACTCCTCTGGCTGAAAAAGTTCTGTAAGCTACACACAAGGGGAAATAGCCTATATTGTTAGCTGAGATTAAACTTTATATTAATGCAGATGGTATTGTGAGATTGTATTCAATTTTTTTATTACCTATATTAGATTTTCTATAGAACAACGTTTTCTCTCCCTTTTTGACTGAACAGATCCCATTCATAATAAGATTTCTTTTTCTCTTTTTTTTGGCACAGGGAATCTAACATAGCCTCTTGCTTGCCAGGCAGGTGCGGGGCTGCTGAACTATAGCCCCATCCCAACTTTAGGAATTTTTAAAAGCATGTGATATACACATTTTATTTATTTATTTATTTATTTATTTGGCACCAGAAATTGAGCTTAGGACCTTGCACTTGTACTGAGCCATATCCCTGGCCCGGATGGATGGATGGATGGATGGATGGATGGATGGATGGATGGATGGATGGATGGATGGATGGATGGATGGATTTTTATATGGGGTCCTGCTGCACAGTTTGGACTTGTAGTGATCCTCCTTTCTCAACCTCCCCAGTGCTGGGATTACAGGCATGAGCCACCATGCCTGGTTTTGGTGGTCAGCATGGCCTGTAGTGCCAGGGATCAAATTGTTTTTTTGTTTTTTTGCAGAACTGGGGATTGAACTCAGGCCCTTGCACTTGCCAGGCAAGCGCTTATTCTACTGAGCCATCTCCCTGGCCCCCAGGGATCAAATTTGGACCTTGCAGTTCTCAGGCAGGAGCTTAGACTGCTATCTCTTCAGCCCAGTGTAGACATTTTAAATAAAAAGTACTGTATTATTAAGACTTCTGTTAAATGTAGTTTAAAGTTCAATCATCGATATATATCTTCTGTACGTATTTCCAAATTATGTAAGATGCTTCAATTATAGAAGAAAACCATGGCTCACTTTGACAAAGTAATTAAAATTTATCTTTGAGTTTGAACCTGAATTTGTATTGAAATACAGATTGAATTTTAATTATGTGTGTTGTCCAAAAATAACTGCCATGATCTAATATTTGGCATTATTTTTTAAATTGTAATTTTGATGTGGCTAAAAATTAAATAATATATAGCTAATTTTTTTTCATTTGTGGTATTATGGCTCAAATCTAAGGCCTTGCAGCATATAGCTATAAATTAAATCATCTTAACTTGTGGTGGTTTAAAACCTAAGTTAACCCTTGTTTTCCACTGGCAGTGATTCAGAAACAGTCAACTTATACTATATGGCTTATAGATAGTTTAGTTTTTAAAAGGAAAAATAGATACTTAACACATTATTTTAAGAGTGGAAATAATTGCCATTATTAACTTTACCTGTGTGACCTCTAAAATGCTTTTGTAAATTGAAGGTTTAAAAATCTCTGGCTGGGAAACATGACTTTTATACAGCAATAAATCAAGGCTTTACTTTGAGGAATAATGAAGCCGTTTATCCTGTACAATGAGACTAATGTGAGTTATCATTTTATTTTCTCAGCAAGTACACCAAAACCTGAAGAACTCAGGTGAGTAACGTCTTGAAACTAGGAATTGATTTAGAATATTTTGGAAATGTATGTAATTGCTGCCATTGTGGAAGACTAACTGTCAAGCTGTCCCTCAGTGTTAGAGGAATAGCAGGGAACAAATTACACACTGAACCAGATCAAATTGACAAGAAAAATGAAGCAGTTTAAAGAAATGAAGAATGGATGGGAGTGGGTATGGTATGAGAATGACATTCATTACTGCCAAGTGACTAAGGATATAAAGATGAATTATAATCCTTACACATAAGTACCTCAATTAACAAAGATTGATTTTTGCAAGAAGGCAGTTTTATTTTTAGGATAAATCGCATTTGATTGTGGTGTATAATCTTTTCTTAAATATTGCTGAGTTTATTTTGCTAGTATTTTGGCCTAAAATTTTTGTGTATGTCTCAGGCTTATTTCGTATCAGCTATCATACTTTAGCAGAATATGTTTGTAATGATTCTCTCCTATTTTTTGA